ACATGTGTGTCTATATACATATGTATACACGGATATATGTAATCCACCCCATGATCCTTTGCTCTCGTAGATATTCAGTAACTATGCACAGAATGAATACAAATTATGTATTTGATAAGTATACCAATTAACATTACACAATTAGTATTACATTAGTAAGTATACCAATAAGCATTTCTTCCTCACTGTCATAGTAATGAGCTCAATTTTGTTTGAGGAAAAGACATAATTGAGCATTGAGGGGAAGCGTATGCATAAAGTTCTTCTCGGAGCACATGCTGCCCAAATCTTACTTGTTGACCACCTACTAAGTGCCAGCTGCCGTGCTAGGCACTCTGCAAACCTCATCTCATCCACCCCTGTGAGTTGCGTGCTGTTATGCCCATTTTACAGTAAAGGAGACTGAGGCACAAAGCAAACAAGCCCCACGCCACACTGCTGTGAGTGACAGGCATGGTTGTTGTCCGCGGCTGTCTCTGCCCACCACACTGCCTCTAGGCCCCCACTGCTCAGTCAGCAGTGCCCCCGGCAATGAAGCTGAGGGGATGGGAAATCACCATTCAGGGACCACAGTGCCTAACTGTTCCTTTGTGGTGGCTGTCACCACAACTTGGTACCCAGGTGCCGAGCACCAGAAGTGGGGCTGTTTCACAGATGTCGTTCATCTAGGGCTCCTGCCTGGAAGTCATGTGTGATCGGAATCCTTAGGGATCAGAATATTTATCCACTTCTACACAGCAGTGTGTGGAGTGAGAAGACAGCTTAAGGGGAAAATCTGCTGTCCCCCAACATGCACAGACACACACACGGGGTGGGGGTTGACACCAGTGGTTCTCCAAGGTGGCCGCCCCTGCAGGTGCCCGAGGAGCCGCCCAGGGCCAGAGACTGTGTCCACCTCCAGAGATTCTGATTAGCTGGTCTGGGTAGGACTTGGGCACTGGCATATTTAAAAGCCACCTGCAGGACCAGCTGCATCATTGGCAGGACCTGGTGCAGAATGAAATGCAGGACTCGCTGCTCAAAAATTAAGAAGAATTTCGACACTTTGATATGCGATGACTTTGAATAGCCCCTGTCATAACTGTTGAGGGACAGTTTTTTTTTTCTTTTATATTATTTGTTGAACTCTTTACTTAGTATTGAGTTAATCTTTTGTGTATAAAGCTAATTGAAAATAGATCTTAGTTAAAAAAAATAAGAATGGGAACAGGAGAGGGAGGTGGAAGAAGAGTGTGGGAGGGAGGGTATGGGGGCAAGAATCACCATGTTCCTAAGGTTGTATTTATGAAATGCAGTAAATTTGTATATCTTAAATAAAAGGAACAAAATTATGGAGAAAAAATTATGAAGAATTTCAAGACTGTGGCAGCAGCCCCTCTAAACACCAGGCCCTGTGCATCTGCGCTGGGCACAGGCCCATGAAGCCAGGCCTGGCAGCCCCAGCGATTTGGAGATGCAGCCAAATTTGAGAGGGCTGAGGACCAGGGTCCAAGCCACCCAGGCGTACTGCAAACAGATCAGTGTACTGCCAAGAGCCCTGGGGCCCCGGGGATTTATCTCCACACCTCTGAATCCTCTTGAAAGCAGGGCTTGTGTCCAGGCCTGACATACCGTGTGGGTTTTACAGGTGACAGTGCAGAGCCACAGGAAAAGAGGGAAGACAGACACCAGCAAAGGCGTGGATTTGCAAAGCCGTCTCCACACAGAACGATGTAGATCAAATTACTTTCCTAAATGACAAATGCGATCCCACTGTTTCATCTTTGTGACTGACTGGTCTAATACTTTGGCTTTGAATTATGTCTGCTGTAGGGGTCTCATCCAACAGGTTTTAAACACTGTACAATAAAGCAGGGTCAGTGTTGTGGCATAGTGGGTTAAGCTGCCGCCTACAATGCCGGCATGCCCCATGAGTGCCAGGTTCAAGTACAGCTGCTCCACTTTTTTTTTTTTTGACAGATAGAGTTAGACAGTGAGAGAGAGAGAGACAGAGAGAGAGAGAAAGGTGGTCTTCCTTTTCCATTGGCTCACCCCACCAAATGGCTGCCACGGAGCCAGGTGCTTCTTCCTGGTCTCCCATGTGGGTGCAGGGCCCAAGGACCTGGGCCATCCTCCACTGCCCTCCCGGGCCACAGCAGAGAGCTGGACTGGAAGAGGAGCAACTGAGACAGAATCCAGCGCCCCAACAGAGACTAGAACCCAGGGTGCTGGCGCCGTAGGCAGAGGATTAGCCAAGTGAGACGTGGCACTGGCCCAGCTGCTCCACTTCTGATCCAGCTCCTTGCTAATGGCCGGGGAAAGCAGTGGAAGATGGTCCAAATGCATGGGCCCCTGCTATCCATGTGGGAGACCCAGATGAAGCTCCTGGCTCCTGGCTGTGGCTTGGACCCAGCTCTAGCCATTGTGGTCATCTGGGAAGCGGACAAGCAGTTGAAAGATCTCTCTCTCTCTGTCTGTCTCTCCTTGTCTCTCTGTAACTACTTCAAAATAACTGTTTTTG